TAACAGCAAATCAAATATTCAATATACATTTCGATTAATTCATTATAATTATAGATTACACATGCAAATCGTTTTCTACTCGGATAAGACGAACATTGACTGGACTTGGGACAAAAGTTTGAAATGTTATTTTGCAAATAAAACATTGGATTTTTCCTTAAACTATGTTAAAATACTGGAATTATACTATCTTAAAAAGAAATCAGACCAACAACTAAGGACAAAAGAGTCCAAAAAATTGCAATAACAATTTTCAATGCACTTTTACACGTAATGTGAATCGATCTACCTGTTCTATTGATCTAGCTTTTTTTAAAATTGCAAATCTAATTGGTTGCTTTGTGTTGCCTTTTTCAGTATAGTTTACGATTCAATTCTATAAAATATAATGCTCAGTTTATGCTTATAGTTTCAACTTACTGTCATAAGCTATCATTGATTTGAATTGTTTAAATACTGCTTACAGTGCTCAATGGAAACACAAGCGAACTTAAATAGACTTACACAGAGCAAGCAGTGTGTCTAAATGTTAATAAGCGGAGTAGCTATTTTGCCATCAAATTAGATGCGTCATTAAGACTGACTGTTCAACTTATTATAGTATAAAAAACATTAAAAGCAAACAACAACAAAAAATTTTCTAGCCCAAAAACGTATGTAAATATATCTTGATTTAGCTTATTATTGATGATCCCCTGTGTAATTGATTTCTTTTTAACGGTTTATTCTGATATATTCCAAATGTCACGGTTCAGAACTGTTCACTATTTAGAGGAAATGATTTGTTAGCGGCCGAACAGAACATATAACACTAGCCTCACACGTACCTCTCCTCAATCATACATTAACGGGTAAGTAAAGTGTAAAGAGTATGTGAAGACAGTATGCAAAGAAAGTGTGCTCGATAGTTGGGCAAGAATAAATCAGACCGAAGGATTGGGATAACTCAATAATTAAACAGACTCTAACGTTTAAAAAAATGAATAACTAACACACTTTGACAAACAAACAAAAATACTGCAAATGCCAAAATACTCTAAGACGCTGTGTTTTATGAATATATACTCTATCGTGATCTAAATTAATGACAAACAAAATACAAAAATATATCCCTTATCGATTATTTACTCAGTAAAGAAAACAAATCGGAAAGAAAAAAAGATACCTCACGAAAATATATGACAATTCAGTTTACATATTCACAAAACAAAATTTAGAAACCCTTTTACATACATTTCACATACAATAAAATCCTAAATAATATTGACACTAACAAAAGTCCTAATCCACTATATACCAAGATACCTGATAAATATTCTTTCAAGATGTTCAATGTTCTCCATTTTCTCATTCCCGCGTTAGTTATCCAGTTCCCATAATAACTACACGTCGAAGGAGTTCCTCAATCCCCTCATGTATAGATATGAAGCGATAATGAATACGCGAATGTGCACACTTATAGCTTCAATAACACTGTCGCGTTAGATTTCACAAAAATAACTCCCGATGCATCACACTTTCATAAATTAGTATTCTTCCATTCTTTGAATAAAATCCTGTCTGGTTTAATCAAAAATTGGGGTCCTAACGGCTGCGCTGGAAATTCATCACCTCTAGGAAAATACGTGGTCGGATTCACATCCATGACCTATAGATTGCCTCTCTCGCTCAATCGCTACTGATGAACGTAAACTCCTCACCTCCTCTGTCCAAACACTGTGGCTTCTCATAGACCACACTGGCCACCAATGTCACAGAGTAGAATTGTAACTACAAACTCCTGGCGTAGTTTCGTCAATTTAATATAATACGAAGAATAAGCCTTAACACATAAATACATGATTATATTACAAGTTTATTATAACATACATAAAATACAAAAAAAACAACAATTGAGCTATGATATAAGAATTATTTCAAGTAAATAAATAAAATGAAAAAAGTAAATAACTTAATAATAAGTTATTTCCAAAAATTCTATTAAATAAACTTATAGAATCAATGCAAGTACAATTGTGTATCTAAACGCGGGAGAAAATAAAGACGAAGTGAAGTGGAGAAGGAAAATTCGCGGGAATTTAGAAGAAAGGAAATGTTAAAAACCAATGTAAACTTTCTCTCAGATCTCTTTCATACAACGTACAACACGATTGGACATACAAAAAAATTTCACAAAATTGCACGAGATACAGACATAGTTTAATTGTTTCGGCCGTTTTCGTGCATTTCCGCTTATAAGCGTACGTTACGGGACCTTTCCATACAATACAATAGCAGACAATGACAGACATCACGGAGGCTTACGACAATAGACGCATGTGCGGACATTAAGGATACTTTTCCCGCGACTAAATAACGAACAGTGCAGAGCAAAACGAACAATAATATAATAATAATAATAATAACAAATAAATCGGTCTGTTACACAAATATGACGAACAGTTAACATATTTACATCATTTCCTCTAAATACCATTAATTATCAGTTGCTCACTTTATGCCGGCTCGCCACGGCGAGCCGGTATTACGTTAGGATTTTACTGAGAAACAACCTAAAACTCCGAATCCATCCAAAAATTTAATCGAAGCTTGGCTTCCAGCTTTCTATAAAAAATTATCTATCAGGGCTAGGATCCAAAATTATTTAGCCAATCAAATTTAATCTTACATAGCGTCAAAAAACCTTCAATTTTCACGCCATATTTAAAAAGCAGCAAGTATTGTTTTGAGCGCAAAGATATTATGATGATTAAAAACGTTTGTTTTCATGAATTCTTTTCAATAAATCATATTAACACTGACTTTTGATTTAGCGATTTCACCTGTTCCTCTGTAGTAAGTTTTCGTTTGGTTAATTAACATAAGTGTACACCTGGTCTGTGCATTTTTTTCTTTTTCCCTTTTTCCGGTCATTTTATCCTTTCTGGTATTTAGTGTATATATTTACTGGCCGGGATCCGGGACGCCCGGACTGGCCGGGATCCGGGATCGTATAAGATATAGAGGAAAAACTTATAAACTATATTTGTGTTGATTATTGTCGTAATGAAAGGCCATTAAACGTTAAGTTTTTTTTATTGTATGTAATGAACGTTAAATTAATTAAACTTTGGATATAAATATATTTAGAGCTATTTATCAACAAACTTAAAAATCACAATACTTATAATTATATGCCTAATTAATTGGAAAAATCAAAGACTACATTCTTGAATTGGTCAAATCCCGGGATCCCTTTATGTTTTAATGCGATCCCAGCTTTTCTGAAAACTATTCTTGAACTGTCCAATTCCTTGGATCTCTTTAGACTTTAATACGATCCCGGCTTTTCTGAAAACTATATTCTTGAACTGGTCGATTCCCGGGATCCCTATATGTTTTAATAGGATCCCGGCTTATCTGAAAAGCATCTAAGACTGGTTAGTTCCAGGGATCCTACGGAATGCCGTTAGGGCCATCGCCTATGAATGTGTTGATCTAAAACGCGATAGTCGATAGTACGATGGTGAAAACGCGAAATCACGAAACTACGATGGTGAAAACGCGAAAGCACGATGATGAAAACGCGATAGTACGATGATGAAAACGCGACAGTACGATACTACGATGATGAAAACGCGATAAACTATCGTGTTTTCACCATCGTACTGTCGCGTTTTCACCATTGTAGTTTCGTGATTTCGCGTTTTCATCATCGTACTGTCGAGTATCGCGTTTCAGATCAAACCATTCATAGGCGACGGCCCTAACGGCATTCTGGAATGCCGTTAGGGCCATCGCCTATGAATGTGTTAAACTGAAACGCGAAAGTCGAAAGTACGATGGTGAAAACGCGAAATCACGAAATTACGATGGTGAAAACGCGATAGTACGATGATGAAAACACGACAGTACGATGATGAAAACGCGATAGTACGATGGTGAAAACGTGATAGTACGATGATGAAAACACGACGATACGATGATGGAAACGCGAAATCACGAAAGTACGATGGTGAAAACGCGATAGTACGATGATGAAAACACGATGATACGATGATGGAAACGCGAAATCACGAAAGTACGATGGTGAAAACGCGACAGTACGATGGTGAAAACACGATAGTTTATCGCGTTTTCATCATCGTACTTTCGCGTTTTCATCATCGTGCTTTCGCGTTTTCACCATCGTAGTTTCGTGATCTCGCGTTTTCACCATCGTACTATCGACTATCGCGTTTCAGATCAACACATTTATAGGCAATGGCCCTAACGGCATTCCGTAGGATCCCTATATTTTTAATAGGATCCCGGCTTTTCTGGCTGATTTAATTGACAACTTGTGTTTACTTTAGGACTTGTGTCTGTCACTCATTCCAATACTAAATATCATATTACAACTTAACTTCGTATAAAGAGACATCTTTATGAATTCTACCTATCTAACATTTATTTGGTCAAGGTCAAAAGGCCATATAGTAAATGTGCATAGACATAGGGACTTCATTCTATCTGTTTACATGCATCTTCATATATACTCATATTCCTCTTTGTTAAACTGAGTGAAACTGGCTTCCATAACTTTATGTCACTTTTATTTTGATGTTCGCTGAAGTCTCTTCAGCTAACAGAACTGTCATTTTTACATTTAAACGCACCCCTGGAAAAAAATTACGAAGCGAGTCGCTACTAGCTTTTTTAAAAGCTAACCTTGTTTTTATATTTATTTATATTTAGAGGCAGTTGAAAATAGTTGGCAATATAATTTCTAAAATGCCCGATGCTGTTTCGTTAATTCTAACGTGGCTTATTGACTTATTGATTTGACAACTAGTGGGTTGGTGTTAGGGATAACGGCGGCAAACCACACTGAATTTACTAAAACACTGTTCATTGACGACATAGGGGAGCATTGGACCATGGGACGAGTTGACTAAGGGAAACTCTCATATAATATACTTCTATATATGTCCATCCTTGAAACGTGATAGGACAAACGTTTCTTGATTATTATATTTCAGCTTGTGCAATACTTACGTGGCTACAAGTTGACGTTATTTGACTAAATGTATTTTGTGTCGAAACAGACGGATACACGATTGATCTCTGTAAGAAAGATGACATTGGAATGATTGCTTCCAAGGTAATTGCGTACTCCTTGTTTTTTGTATAAGAAATATTCGTATGTATGCGCAATATTACTGACTAATATTTATGAATAACCTACTTTAAGATAGAAAAAATATTGTCCATGCCGTTTGCTCATTTTAAATATCGCCTTAGTTTATATGATTATGAAGCGGTTTCAATATCATTTTTTTAAAACACTGAAAAGTATAGTGTTTATTTTCAGAGGTGATTGCAAATAAACACATCAAAGGTTCGTTGCTAAGAACCTTGCAAGGATACAGGACCAAATGAACCAACATACCATTAAACTAGAAAAGAACATATTTAGATGATTTCAATGACATCCATGGAACATTTGTTTAAGACAAATATATTATAATACATTTCCTAGACAATATTCTTCAGTTGAATAAGTATCATCATTTAAATCGAGAGACCTTTGCATATACATGTAGTGAATTTACAATTAGAGATATTCATTTGTTGGTATGAGTGTAGAGAAAAATATATAACGTTGGAAGCTACATTGAAGTGCAGAAGATTTTCGTTATCATTAAGTTTGGATGGACAAACTTTAATCTTACTTAATGACGGATTAAATTTCAGTTTGAATATTAAGGAAATTACCTAATCGTTCTTTTCCAGCATACAATGTGACAGTTAGTGTATAGTATACTTATTGCATTTTATTGATATTTTACTTCATTTTATCAATTATGTTTCCAAAGGTCTGTATGCAATCTAGGTTGCCAAAAAAGTGTAATGATCAGACCTCCTTAGTATTGTATTCTCTTAATATTCATACTTTTCTCTGGAAATATGATAATTAAAATTATAAGTATGAATGCGGATGGTCCAAATGATGGCAGAGGGTCCGCAGCAAGGCGGAAAACGGCGATTCATGACATAGTCTGGAATGAACAACCAGATATCATTTTCTTTCAAGAATTTAATTGGGCTAGTATTAATTGGAAAGTGAATTCCCTACCTACGAACTACACTCACATTCGTCATAACGATACTTGTATTGTTCTAAACAATAAGCGAATAAGTAACATGACAGATATACATCAAACTGTCCTTGAACGTCTCGACCCTAAAGAACATCCGAACAAAATTGCGCAAACGCGCTATTCGATTAAGTATTTTACAGTTGATAATTACTTAGACATAATTTGTATGTCTTGGCACGGTCCACATAGAGGTTTTACCGATGACGAAAAAGTTTGCTTTTTTAATGACCATCTTATGAAGTTCATAAAAAGGATAAAAAATAGGTATAGGTTACCAATGATTATTGCTGGTGATTTTAATGTTGAAAGAGATCATATCAGCAAGTATGTTGCCCATCCATTTAAAATTTTAAATTATGAAGCCTCACCACGACGACAAGATGTGGGAGTGATTGATTTTATCATTACGACTGCTTCTTTGGAATCATCTGATGAATCCTGGTTAGATCTAAATGAAACTTCGGCTGAAAAGCCACAGGATGTATTGGATCACGATCCAATTAAAGCATCATTGATATTACCAGAACCGGTTGAAGATATTCATATACTTTTTAAAGCTGGTTAAATTAAAAAGGTACTCTGTTGATAAATAAAAGAAATCGAAATTAAGATAAAACTCAAGAAGCTTGTCCTTTTCTATTCATTTTGAACTCCGAGTAGAAGAAGATACCTTCTTTCATCAAGTGACAATTAACAAAGTAAAACGTATTAACTGTGATTGCTATTATAAATGAAGTGTATGAATGAAACTTCAAGCCACATAACGTTGTCATATCATTGAATACCATGGTATTTTTGCATTTACTACCACACTTAAAATGGTTTAGCTGAAAAATAATGAAAATTAATGTCAGCTCCCCCGTTACCCTTAGATTATACGATTTTTGTAGGATAATTGTACGGTCATATTGTTTAACGTTGATATTGTTTAAATATTTAATATCATTGTTTTATATGCTTGTTATGACTTGTTGAGCAATATTGACTAATTAATTGTAGGTAGTTATTTTGGGAGTTTGTGTAATTTATTGCGATTTACGCATTCGTTTTAATAGTAATATAAGTCTCAAAATTAAAGCAAGATTGCCTAGTGGAAAGTACAACGGAGTGGAAATCGCTTTGTTGAAAATTCGATTCTTCGATAAATCATTTTCTAAGAATTCGTTATTAGTTTTATTTAGATTTTTCCTTAAAATTGGCATAATTTAATTCTTATTTCATAAATAAGATGAGGATATAATTCAAAATAATTTTCATTTGTTGGCATTAAGTCTTACAAGTGGTTCGCATGATCGAAAACTTAGTGGTCCAGTTTCACAAAAATATACAAAGAAGAAATGAAATAACGCTCCTCGTTTTACGAACCTACAACTTTTCATTTCATTGATGCAAGTAAGGGGCGAGCGTTACGCGGATAATATCTAAGTTATACATATAGTCTGATTTTATTGTCATGTCAATTTTGAATATATAATATCATTCATTTGATTTAAATATTTGATCCTATTTCTGTCCTTGTAACTTACGAGAATTAATATGAAATATTAAACTAATGCTCTTAAAAGTTACAAAAGGTAATTGAATTTTCAAAGGCCTAAGGTCATTACTGCATATCAATAGCATTGCAGTATACATATGTTTTCTATATGAGTCTTTTCTTGTATTTACTTTAAGCTTGAAATCATTTTAAGTACACATATTGCTAGAATTAGGTTTAAACTGTCTATACTTTACAATGGATAATACTTTATTTTAATTCAGTATATTTAATTTTATCTTATTTGTAATAAAACAAACAAAAAACATTTCTTTATGCATAAGATTTTAATATGTCAAGAACTGAGTTTCATTGAATTTTTATTCGATTTCTATAGATATTATGATTTAGTATATAATTTTGTTTTTTTGCATGTAAATTTCAAAATTGTTTACAATGTCCCTTTAATTAAATCGAAACCCGATAATTACAGGCAACTGGTCATTGAATATTCAAATGACTTAGTGTCAATGTTGCTAAACAATATTTGTACAATTTTCATAATTATTATGTTTTCGAATTGCCTTACTTGTAAATCTTATTTGTTGGCGTTATCTTTTTTTCAATTCTAATGTGACCCATGAATAAGCAAATAAGAATGAAAATGTGTTTATGAATATGCAAATGTGGCTATGAATATGCAAATGTGTCTATCAATATGTAATGGTGTCTATGAATATGCAAATATGTCAATGAATATGAATATGTGTCTATAAATTTGAAAATGTGTCTTTGAATATGAAAATGTGTCTATAAATATGAAAATGTGAGTATGAATATGTAAATGTGTCTATAAATATGAAAATGTGTCTATTAATAAGAAGATGTGTCTAGGAATATGCAAATGTGTCTATGAACTCGTGATTATTATCTTATTAATTATACCTTTTATATTTTCCCGTGATCATTTGTTTTTGAAGTGCTTTTTTAACTATTAATTATGTGTTTATTTATTATATTTATAAATACTTGAAGGTTAATTTCAACAAGCCGAAGATAAATGATTATAAGTTGCAATGCTTCAAACATGTACAAAATATGTCAATTAAATGTGTGTATGTCTATGTGTCTGTTCCTATGTCTGAGATAAATCATTGTTATGTTTATTTTTAGATAAACATTTTGATTTTCTGAATTTTATTTCACATCAAATATTTACTTTTTAAAGAGACACTTTTGATTGTTTTTGCTAAACATTCATTAAAATGAATACAATTCATACATTGCTCCAATTAAATCCTATATCTGAACACTTTAAATTGTTTTTGAAAACTTGAAAATCATTATTAAGTGTAAATATATTTGTTAAGTATGATAAGTAATAATTATCTATATTATTATTTATATAGTTTAGATTACTTTAATGATCAATTGAAAGTGTGGGTATAAAGAATAGGTAGACGCCTGATGTGAATAAATTTGTTTCTTATGATTTCTTTACATGAATCGTAATTCAAATATGTATTTTATGCGAGACCTTAAATGACGTAGTACGCAGATACTGCAAAAAAATTACGTTCGAAAAGGAGCATAGTGACATCCAATATACCATATATATTTTTTCAGCTATGATTCTCTATAATCATGAGAATTTAAGTAAATTATGTATACTTCTTAAAATCTACCTTCTTTGCCTAGTATGAAAACAATAATTAATGCAGGATTGTTGGAAATGTCTTTGCTAATTTATTCAACACTTGTGTTATCTGTTATGAAAGCAAAACCAGCCAGATAATTTTTATTAAATCGATATTTATATAATAAAAGTTATGCAAACATGATACTGCTAATTACTTTTTATGTTAACAATTTAGTGGTTATCTGGTGTTGTTTTTGATATGTTGTGTTTTTAAGATATTATTTGCTTCTGTATGAAAGAATTATATTTACAGACAGCTTCACAATTGATTGTCTGGGGAAATTTTTCAAACATTGTGGAAGAAGATATCACAATCCGAAAAGATCTGTGTATTGCTTGTATCCTGTGCAATGTCAATCGGAACACCTTGCCTATAATTCATAAAAAATTCAGAGATAACACGGATTGAAAGCAGTTCTATCAAGTGACTCTTAATGTATAGGAGAGACATATTTTGTTACCGTTCATGATTTTGTAATGAGATAATATATATTACAATCATCGTCAGTTTAAGAATGTCGAATGACAAATAATTGTAAACCAAATATAATTTTACTTAATTCATATGGACTTTTACATGATATAATTAAATGAATTACGGCAACATACACATGCATTCACTTACCTTACCATTAAATCATCGGATTTATAGAAATGTTTCTAATGGGACTGTACACGTTTGTTGACATGATAGCCAAAAATATTGCCTGAAAAGTGTGTTTACGACACCACAAAGGCTCAATCTCTTTATTTTACTATCTATCTTCGGGGTCGAAGGCACGATTTGCTTTATAACAGTTAGTTGCGTATCCATAAATATATGCTACGTTTCGCCAAAACAAACAAAGAAACCACCTCGTCAGTAAGTAGGCAGTTACAAAATTAATTCATTTGTCATTAATTCAATGATTGATGGTCAATTAAATACTATCTTTTCTATACGTAGCTGAGAGCATTGCAGAAAGTTAAAAGTGATAAATTTCATATAAAACAACCGTGTATGTTAAAGATAAAACTTGGGAGAGACAAATTAAGACCATATATACAACAAATATTCATTTTGTTTGTTACGTCTGGAAATGAATCATGTCTAAAGCAACTTTCCGTATTACATAGATTCGGATTGCCTTTAACGCAATGGATCAAATCCGCGAAGTTCGTATTTCGTTTGTCAAAAAAAAACTGACAGAACTAGATGAAAAGAATATATGGACTTAGCAGAGGTTCGCGCTATTTTTAAAGCAATGTATATGAAATCAGAAATCTCAATGAAAAGATAATGGAATCATAGATAATGGAAACGGATTGCGACATAGTTTCCAAAAATATTGACTACTTCGAAGAACGTATGCTGAAACTACAAAGATTGATAGAAGAGGTACCTTATCAGAACTTCTCTGTCGAAATTTTGGGTTTGACAGTTTTATTTATCAATTTATCAACTTTTTTAATCAACTTTAAACAGAGATCAAGTAAATTCAAGACGGCAATTTTGTGCTATATACATTGTAACAATATCATTTGAAAAAGTTCATTTCGCAAATTTACTCAACGTTTTAAAATAAATCAAGTGTTTTATAAGGTTATATTGTACTACCCTTGGCTGTTCTTGAATTAACATTCACAATTCTTGATGTCGTATAATTCATCATACGACTTTATATTAATTGAAAACGAAGGTTGTTCGCGAAGTCTGTGTAAAATGGGATAATATTGTATTGAAAGCATTTTTTCTATTGTCTTTTGTTTTAGATATAGTGTCGACTTACTTTAGCTGATCACCACAGCTTTTATTTG